AAGGTATGTCTCCTCACCATCCAGTGAAGATGGTCCATGGCTGTGCACAGACTGGGGTGGGGAAGCTGAATCAGGGTATATTACAGTAGCATAAACCAGGCCTCTCTGTGCCAGGTGCTGCACACAGGCACAGGCAAGAGATAGGCCCTGCCCCAAAGAGGGCACAGTCTCACCTCACAATTGCAGGAGGGGAAAATGGGGCATGGAGAAGGACAGAGATTCACCCAAGGGCAGAGCTGGGAACCCAGGAGGAAGGTCAGAGCAATGTCATTCTCTCCTGGCCCCAGTGCATCACAGCACCATTTAATTTAGACAAACTCCACTGGGCAGGGACGTGTCATTTATAATTTGGCTTGAGAATGCTGTGGACCCCCATGGGACGGGCAAATTCACACTGTTTCTCAGCAAGATCCTGTGCAAACAGAAAGAGCAAAGACACAGAGCAATCTGCAACTGCATCAGGTTGTGTCCCACAAGGCACTCCAGGCTCAGGGCCAGGTGTAGACCTGGTGCAACTCCAAAATGGGCTGTTTTTGCCAAGACTTAGCTAACACCCAGCATTCACCTTCCCTGTCATTGAGATGCAACCAGCTCTGGGGTGAAATGTTTTGACCACACAAAGTCACATGACATAGGAGCCCTGGAGCAGGCAGTGAATAATGCTGCAGCCAGTGGGAAGTGCAGGAGATATCGGAGACAGGCAGAGCAACAACCTGCAGCAGCAGGAGCCTGACTGGGCCATTGGCTAAGCAGTGCTGGTCTGTGTGGCTGTTGGCAATCTGTGTATGACAGTCACCCTAAAACCCACTCAGGGATCGGCCCAGAGTGTGGATGAGTAACACAGCCAACCTTGTTCCCTGCTCTAACAAGAGCTGCCTGATGGACAGGACAGATCGGCACACAATACAGACAGACAGACACCCTAGCAGTCAAACCACAGATAGCGCAGGTGTCCCAGCTGGCATGTGCTTGCCTGATTTGGGGCAGCAGTTGGAGTGAATTCAGGCTAGGCTCAGAGGCAGAGACAGGGACATCAGGGATGGTGCTGGGGAGCTATTTCCAGGGCACAGCATAGGGCTGGTGAAGGGGCAGGCAGGAGAGTGAGGCTGCCATTGCCAGGAGGGGGAAGGCAGGGGCTATAGCAGGGTGAGCCACTGCATTAAATGAAAGGCAAGGGCAGGGGACCAAGAGCTATGGAGGGAACCAAGGAACGTGCATGGCTGTGATGGAGGAAGGTCTGGCATGGGCCCTTTTCCTTTGGCCTTATTCTGATCTCTTCTTCCCCGTTTATGAACAAGAGAATGCTATGTTCAATGCTTCTGCTCACACAGGTTGGGCTTGTGGGATCCCCACAGTCCCTCCCTGTTGTCCCACATGTATACAGCACCAGACACACATGGCAGCTGGCAGTGGATGGGGGGGAAAGAGGAGTTCACTCAGACCCTCCTGTGAACAGGAGCTGGGTCTCACCCCTGGAAAACAGCACAGAACCAGTCCCTGCACCAAGGAGGGTAGGCATGAGTGGGAGGCACAGGACTGTCAGGCAGGATGCTGCCCCAAGTAGGAGCTCAGCTGTGCAGCAGGGCAGAGAGGAGTCTACCCCATTGAGGGTAACATGAAAGAAGGGGCAATTGTGGGTGAGCTGAGGGAGGCAGGAGCAGGAAAGTCTGGACAAGGCTGGAAAGGAAGAGAGGACGCAGCAGACTAACTGCTGTGCACACCACACACGTGCCACTGCTGGCAGTGCCAGGGATGGATTTGCTTCCATGCCTAGGCCCACCCTAACTGGAACAGGTGGAGGGGCAGGAAGGACTGTCAGCTCCGGACAGCTCTGCAGACCAATGCTGCCGCAGAGCTTGGGTCGATCTGTGTGTCCCAGTGATTTCCTCTAATTGGTCACCAGTCTGGCTGGCCGGATGCACTATTGACCGGCTGGAATTTTAAGCAGACAGCCCTCCCTGCATATAATGGACTTTCCAACCCACTCTGGATACAGGCTGCCAGCCTGATCTGACAAGTGATCCAGGAACAAAGGAGCCCAGACAGATAGACACAGTCCAGGAGCCCAGACAAACCGACCCTCAGTCCAGCTTCCCACAGTCTGAGCCTGGAAACACTCCAACACATGGGTGGGTGAAGTCTGAAGTGAGATGAGACCCCTCCCAGCAAAGCCCTGGGCAGCAGCACAGAAAACAGTCATAGGATAAGGACATGGCACAACTCTGCAGCTTCCACACAGCAAGGCTGGTATCTCCCCACCATCATACTTCCCTTGAAGGAACCCAGGCCACAGTGCACACAGACTGATCCCTGCACTGTCTTCACCTCTTTACTCCAGGATCCAGGGAGAAAGCACCTCCAATGGACTGCACTCTGATCCATCCAACTGGGAAAATCTAGAGTAAGTCCATGGGCTCCAGGGGAAGGTTACACCAGGGAACTGGGACTAGCATCTGACCCCTTACTTTAAAACCTCACCCCTCCGAGGGCATGACCCCAGCCCACCACCTCAGCTGGCCTCCAGGCACCCTTCTCCCTGACTAGCACCAGCCTCCTCTCTGCCCTTTCACCCTTGGCCCTCCATGCCTGGTATGGGAGCCGGTCCTGTCCTGTCAGAGCAGCCTTCCCAAAGATGCCTTCCTTGGGGGATCACCTTCTTCTAGAGTTGTCTCTGCTCCACATGGTGCCTGCTGTTCTCATATCTCCACCCTGATCTACCTACAGCTGCTCCTACTCCACCCACAGCCATCGCAGCCAGCACAGACTTGGGGAAGTGGATTTGTACTTCAGGGAATCTCTGTTTTATCATATTTGATTGAGGAGAAACAGTCTGGACAGGAAGGCTGCTAACCTGTCTGCAGGGAATGCCCAGCTCTGCCTGGAGCCAGGTAGCTCCCTACCCTGAGCTACTTGGTGTGGTGAAAGTTGGACCAGCACTGCCCTCACGTGGTCAGAAAAGGGCACTGCTCCTCCTGGCATCCGGACAGTTAGACCACAATGTCTGGTCTCGGGCAGGGGTGTTGCTGTTCACGTTCCTCCTCCCCTCCTCCCTCCCCAGGGTGCAGTTCTGACCCTGTGGATCAGGAGAGAAGGCCATGAAGGGGGGAGGATCTGGTATCTAACAGCATTGGCAGATCTCTGAATCTCCCACAAAAGATCAGCTCTCAACCTCTGTTTTGACACTCCCCCCTCAATTTTAAGGCCAAGGGAGAACACTTGGCATCTGAGCAATCCCAGTGTTTTACTGTTACCAAGGCTGAAAACAGCACTGCATTCAATGGGTTTAACCATGGCACATGACTTAAGTGGCTTGCCTAAGGTCATACAAGTCAGTGGCAGAATCATTCACTGAACGCAGGAGTCCTTCTTCATCGTACCCGTGAACATCCTGACTATTCTTCGACCAAGAGGCACAGCTTCAGAAGCTCCTTCACAAAGCAGCTGCGAGGTAAGGGGCAGTGCAGTGCAGTGCAGTGCAGTGCAGTGCAGTGCAGTGCAGTCTGCTGAGCAGGGCACTCGACTAGGTGTCAGGAGACTTGACT